GATAAACAAAGATTAACCTATAAGAGAAAGCAAATACGATTAAATGTCGATTTCTCAGCAGAAACCATGTGAGCGAGCAGATAGTGGAATGACATATATCAAACACTCAAAGAACACAACTGTCAACCAAGAATATTGCACCTCAAAAAATGTCATTAAATATGAAGGAGAGATCAAGATATTCCCAGAAAAACAGAACCTAAGGGAGTTTGTAAATAATAAGACCAGCGTTGCAGGAAACACTGATAGATATCCATTTACAGAGGTGTGACAGAAATCAGGATGAAACAGCACAACAAGCAACAACACCAAAAAGAACTCAACACAGTGATAGCAATAAAACATTGCCTCTCAATAATCTCACTGAATGCAAATGGGTTAAATGCACCACTGAAGAGGAAAAGAGTAGCAGGCTGGATTAAAAAAAATAAAATTACAAAATCCATCTATATGCTATCTGCAAGAGAAACACCTGATGAATGAAGATAAAGACAAAATAAGAGGGTGGGGAAAATATACCAAGCAAATGGCAATCAGAAAAAAAGCATAAGTAGTGATATTAATCTCTGCAATTAAAAGGTCAACAGATGAGGAGGACATAACAATAATATATATCTATTCAACAAATGATAGAACTAAAAAAAAACAAACAACAAACAAAAAGGAAGTAAACAACACCACTATAACAATTGGAGACTTCAATACACCACTCTAAACAAAAGATAGAACTACCAAAAAGAAAATCAACAAAGATGCTGAAGAATTAAACCACACAATAAACCAACTCGATCTCATAGATATTTATAGGCTAATGCACCCCCCAAAAGCACAGTATACCTTCTTCTCCAATGTGCATGGAACATTTACATGGGTCACATTTTAGGTTATGAAGAAAACTCTAGAAATAATACAAAGCATCTTCTCAGATCACAATGCTACAAAATTAGAAGTTCATAATAAGAGGATAAAGGAAAAAAAATCCTCCCATAAGCTTAAGAAAACCTTGTTTGAACATTAGTGGGTATTATAAGAAATAAAAAATGAAATTAAAATTTTTTTGAAACCAATGACAATGAAAATACAACCTACCATACCTTCTGGGAAACATCCAAAGCAGTAATCAGAGGTAAATTTATAGCAATAAGCAAACACATCAAAAAGGCAGGAAAAAATGACCATTGACTCTCAAATCCAACATCTCCAAAAAATTGAAAAAGAACAGAAAGACAACCTAACATCTGCTTAAAAAAATATGGAAATTATAAAAATTAGGGCAGAAATAAAGGAAATAGAAAACAAAAACAATTAAAACCATAAATAAAACCATGAGTTGGTTCTTAAAAAAAATAACAAATCACTAACAAAGCTAACAAAAAAGAAGGAAAAGACAAATAATCCAAATAAGAGATGAAATGGGCAATATCACAACAAAACCAACTAAAATAAAAAGGTTAATAATGAAATATTATTAAAAACTATACTAAAAAAATATGAAAACCTAGAAGAAATGGACAAATAATTAGAAATTTACAACCTACCTAAACTGACAGAAACTGAAACTGAACACCTGAATAGATCCATTTCAAAAGAAGAAATTGAAAAGGTAATAAAACATCTTCCAGCCAAAAAAACCCTGGACCAGATTATTTTACAAGTGAATTTTATCAAACATTCAGAGACAAACTGTCACCAATTCTACATACACTATTTCACAAAATAGAAAAAGATTAAATTCTCCCAGATTTATTCAATGAAGCAAGCATATCCGTGATACCAAAGCCAGGTAAAGACATCACCAAAGTAGAAAAGTATAGGCCAATATCTCTCATGAACATAGATGCAAAAGTCCTGAATAAGATCCTGGCCAATAGAATCCAATGATACATCAAAAATATAAGTCACAATGACCAAGTGGGATTCATACCAGGTATGCAAGGATGATTCAACATGAAAAAAAATCAGTGTATTTCATCGTGTTTCATCGAAAGGAATTTCCTCAACATAGTAAAAAGTATATATGTAAACCCGAGAGCCAACACTGTTCTCAATGGAGAGACATTAAAGGCATTCCCTTTGAGAACAGGAACTAGACAATGATGCCCACTATCACCTCTCCTATTCAATATTTTATTGGAAGTCTGAGCAATAGCAATAAGACAAGAGAAGGAAATGAGAGGTATCCAAATTGTCAAAGAGGAAGTAAAATTATCACAATATGCAGATTATATCCTAAAAAACCCAAAAGACTCAGCAAGAAAACTACTGGACATTGTTGACCAATTCAGTATTTTGTTTTTTCCCTCAAACTTGCATGTTTAATATTCACAGTGTTCATTCATATATTTTCACTTATTTTCCCATTTAAGAATTAATAAATTCAACAGAAAAATGGGATGAGCTTGGCTACCATTTCTAACTGCTTTGAAACAGTAGGACTTCCTGGACAAAATGGAAGAAAAATGTGGAACAACAAAAAGATTTACTAGTTTGACAGAGGCTATTCACTGAAAAAAGACATCATCCTTGGAAAGGTAGAATGTCAGCGAAGGAGAGGAAGATCCTTAGTGAGATGGATTGGCTCAGTGACTGTGACAATGTGCTCAAGAGTATTGGGGATAATAAGGATGGTTCGGGAGAGAACAGGTTTAAGATCTGTTGCTTATAAGGTCACTATGAGTAGTACTCCACTCTACAACACCTAACAACATCAATTTAGGGTGAGAGAGACTGAGAACCCTTCAGACAATAGCCCATAGTTACCCTTTTAAGTATTTTTTAAAAGTATGCTCTTGTTTCTCTTCAGATCATATAAGCCTTTCATGTTTAAGCCCTTAACCTTTTAAATCTTCATAGGTGGTCTAGTGGCAAGAAGCTGTGCTGTGATCCTGAAGTAGTTTGAATCAACCAACTGTTCCATGGGTGGAGGATGGGCAATCTCCTCCCCTGTGATTAACTACTCTTGAAAACCCTCCAGAAAGTCAGCTATATATTAGTTGTGACTCAAGGTTACACAACAACAATGACAGACAAACTTAGGGATCAAATTTTCAGGCAAATAATAGATAGACCTGTTGCTATTGTTACCTGCCTTCAAGTCAGAACTAACTAACAGCTGACCCTCCAGTTGATTTTCAGAGGCTATAAATTGCACTGGAGAAAACTGTGCACCTTTCTTCTGTGAGGCAGCTGGTGGACTCAAACCAGGTGCTTTTAAGTTGCCAGTACAGCTCCTTACAATTAGGCCACCAGAACTCCTTTTTGCTAATCCTAATATGTTAACAGCCATTAACAAGGTGTACCTCCTAGCTAAAATAATTATCACAAAAGTTTAATGAGAAGCATTTAGCCAGAGATACAGCTCAAAAGGTAGGATGTGATAAAAATGAAGGACAAATGGAAACCGTAAATACATGAAGGAAATAAAAATCCATCAGAAAATCGCTGTTACCTTGTGGGAATTGCAAACAATGTCACAAATAATAATGTATATGAATTGTTGGATACATTGTCAATTTGCTCTCATTCAAATCATAATAAAACTTATGCTTACATTACAAAAATTTGTCATTCAGTTGCACACACATACACGCACCTGCACCCATTTTTTTTAAAAAAAAGATTGCACACATTTGAAAGAGAAAGTCAGTATTCAGATCTATTTTAAGCTTACCTTGTCCCCCAACAGTGGAAACCCACAAGATCAGAATGGCATTGATTAAGAGCAACATGTTGGATGAACACAATCATATGTACTGAAAATCCTCAAGCAAGCGTGGTGTTGATTTGAATCCTGCTTTTGTTAACAGTAATGGGAGTGACTTTAAATTTCTGTGTACTGCTGGAAAACTAGTTTAGTCCTTTAGTAAATATCAAAGTCCACAGACAGTTGTATGAAATAACTGACTAGTCACTTATTAATGTTCTCACGTTAGTACTCTGAATTCATTACTTTAAATGTTTTGAGTAGAATTATACCTGTCACTTTTCTTGTAGTTACCAAATCTGTGAGTCTGAACATATTAAAAAATGGAGAACTGAGGAAGAAAGACAAATCATTTTGGTTTTTCTTTTCTTCAGTTGTCTTAGAGCCAAATAAGAGCAGATCCTTTCTTCCAACCCATTGCCATGGATTCAGAACCAATTCATAGTTGACCATCCATACGATTTCTAATGCTGAAAGATGTTCAAGAAGAAATTACCTTTCTTTTTCCTCAGAGACTT